TTGGCAAACATATCACATAAGTTTTCAAAACTTACTATTTAGATGTCAGCATCACATCAAAATATAAACGCAAACTAATTACGTCCTGGGGAGAAATATTGGACGTTTTACCTCAGAAACATAACCAAATAAAGGCAATAGTACGAAATATTGCCCTCAAAGTAGTAAACAATAATAAAACCTACTTAAATCATTATTTTAAAGCGATAAAACAATTTTTTACCAAAGTTACCAATTTTACCGTATTTTACCGGTATTTTACCAATCTTACGTAAAGAAAATAAATTACTTACAAATTTAAAACCCTACTTTCGCCCTCGGTCTTGGTTTGTTAGCTGGTAGGGTAAGGTTCCCAGTGATGGACACGTTTTTTGACTTGCAGCTCAACTTTCCTATTTACGATCTTGGAACGAAACTAATCTTCTGGTAAAACCCCTACCGGTTTGTAATGAGCAAAACAGGAACGATTCAGGAAACGATATCGTTTGCGTCGATTTCAATAGTTGGCATCTCGACATAAAACCCTCGTGACCTGAACAGTAGTTCCTTTGGTCGGATCGTATTCGGGCTTGCGGCGTATGCTATGTGCGTAAGATTCCCCTTATTCTGAATAAAGCCCGAAAAAAATCAAGAAAAAATGATTTGGGGACCAGCCTACCCAACGGCGAAAACAAGAAACAACCTGTTCCAATGGGGATATAAACTTCATTCGTGTTCAGGGAAATTGAGTGGGGATCTGCTTGAATGTTAATGAGGAAAATATTTTGTACTGCATTCGTATTAAATTTTCTGCCTTTATCAATGTTCGTTGATTAACAGAACCTTTCATGTCTTTCACGCACAGGCCAATGCGATTCTAGACGTTCGTAACAACAACCAGTGGAAAGAAAACGCCTTTATATTTAAATTTCCAAAGAGAGGTTGTAGCGCCGCCAGAGATTATCCGCCACCCGATTTTTACGAGTACTTCAGCGTCAAAGGGACGCCTTGCCTTGTGAAGCAGGTATGCTCAATTGGACAATAACTAAAGACAAACATAACCTTTTAAAACGGGAAAGCACAAGAGGTCCCATATGGGCAGGACACGTCGCATCTAGGTGAAAAGGAGCGCGTTAAAAATGAGCTTTCTTTGATTTTCAACGAAATTATCACTGACGTAAGTTCTGACCAATAAAGTATTCCGGTAAAGCTGAAATGCAGAAGAATGCGGGGAACAAGAAAACGGAAGTCACCATCTTCCCCGCATTCTTCTGCATTTCTGCTTTACCGGAATGCTTTATTACGGAGGAAAATATATTGTACGCTGCAACCAAACTGCGACCAGTCTTCCTCCTGAGTTGTGATGATACGACTCCTCAATTGAAACCACCCGCACGGAAAAAAAGAGCTCAAAAAGTGACAGGCCAAAGTGTCTTAAAATTGTAAAAAAAGTATACAAAAAGTATGAAAAAAGTTTGCCTAAAGTGCCTCCAAAGTGTTGCGGTTCCAATCTGCTATATTTTAAGCATACCTAATGTATACTTTCTACAAAAGTATACCTGAAAGTGTCATTTGGATGTACTTATTTCCATGCGGGCAATAAGCTGTTTTGACTGAGCGGACAAAATTGTAAATACTGCCGTTTTGTTATGTTTAGTCGAGGTACCCGAATGCCTTTTATGCTTATGTCCGAAACCATAGGCAAAAGCATGTGTTAAGGTTTTTCCCAAACTTCTCTGGTCACTGAGATCAAACCTTCTGGTCGCTGTGACCGGACCAAACTATCTGGTAGGAGGACTTCCGAGATCCCGAGTCGACTCCAGCCGAACGAGCTCGGTTGCGACAGCCGACTACTCAACCTGTGGCTCCGTGCCTGGCGGCTGGCTAGTAAGCCTAGTCCAGAGGGAGTTTTTGTTGAAAATAAGCGAAGCAATGTACAACCCTTGATGCTTAGTCGAAGTGATGGGAAGTTGACGGGCCGGAGGCCCGTATCTTTGTGTAAATTTTTGCACTACC